GTTAAAATGACCATATTACCCAAAGTAATCTAGAGAGTCAACACAACCCCAGTCAAACTACCAATGTGATTTTTCACAGAATTAGAAAAAACAATCCTAAAATTCATATGGAACCAAAAAAGAGTCAGAATAGTCAAAGAATGAAGCTGGTGGTATCACATTACCTGACTTCAATTTCTACTACAAACTATACTACAGGGCTGTAGTAATCAAAATAGCATGGTACTGGTACAACAGCAGACACATGGACCAATGGAACAGAACAGAGAATCCAGAAATAAACCCAAATAGTTACAACCAACTGACTTTTGACAAATCAAAAATATACACAGGAGAAAGGACACCCTATTCAACAAATGGCGCTGGGAAAATTGGATAGCTACATCCAGAAAAATGTAACTTGATCCCTATCTCTCCCCATATACAAAAAAATAACTCAAGATGGATTGAAGACTTAAATGTCAGATCTGAACCTATGAAAATCCTAGAATAAAACCTCGGAAAAATGCTTATGGACATCGGCCTAAGCCAAGAGTTTATGGCTAAAACCCCAAAAGCAAATATAACAAAAACAAAAATAAACCAGTGGGACATAAACTAAAAAGCTTCTGCATAGCATTAAAAAAAAAAAAAAAGAACAGAGAAAATAGGCAAGCTAAAGAATGGGAGAAGATATTTGCAAACTATAATTTGACAAAGGACTGATATCCAGAATCTACAAAGATTTCATACAAATCAGCAAGAAAACAACAACAACAACAACAAACCATTAAAAGGTGGGCAAACGGGAGAGACAGCCCTCAAAATAAGACATGCAAATGGTCAACACACATGAAAGAAGGGTCAACATCACTCATCATCAGGGAAAAGCAAATTAAAACCACCATGAAAGACCACCTTATACCAGTCAGAATGGCCATTATTAAAAAATCAAAAAACAATAGATACTGGCACAGATGTGGAGAAAAGGGAACACTTACACTGTTGGTAGGGGTGTAAATTAGTACAACCTCTATGGAAATCAGCATGGAGACGTCTCAAAGAACTAAAATAGATCTACCATTTGATCTAGCAATGCCACTACAAGGCATCTACCCAAAGAAACAGAGGTTGCTATAGCCGGGCTCGGTGGCTCAGTCTGTAATCCCGCGCCTTTGGGAGGCTGAGGGGAGTGGATTGTCTGAGCCCACGGATTCGAGACCCGCCTGGGCAGCGAGACCTCATCTCTACAATAAATCACAAAATCAGCCAGGTGTGGTAGCGCGTGCCTGTAATTCCGGCTACTTGTAAGGCTAAGGCGGAAGGATCGCTGGAGCCCAGCAGGTCAAGGCTGTGGTGGCTGGGAGCGGCCACTGCACTCCAATCTGGGCGACAGAGTAAGACTCCAACTCAAAAAAAAAACCCCAAAAAAACAAAAAAACAAGGGTTGCTATATAACAAAGACACTTGCACCTGTATGTTCATCACAGCACAAGTCACCATACCAAAGATGTGGAGTCAGCCTAAATGCCCACCAATCAGTCAGTGGATAATGAAAATATGGTATTATACACCACGGAATACTATTTAGTCCTCAAAAAGAATGAAATAATGTCTTTTGCAGCAACTTGGATGGAATTAGAGAACAGCATCCTAAGTGAACTAACTCAGGAGAAAAAAAAAACAAACACTGCATGGTGTCACTTATAAGTGAAAGCAAAACTAAGAATCTGCAAATGCACAGAGAATAGTGTAATGGACATTGGCAACTCAGAAGGGGGAGGGGAAAAGGGTGGAGGGGACAAAAATCACCTATCGGGTACGACGTGCACAGGTGGGGGTGGTGGGTACATTTAAAGCCCAAACCAAAACTATCTGTAGCCCTAAAGCTATTGAAATAAATAAATAACACAAAAAAGTATGATACGATCGCATTTTTGTAGGACAAGACCAAAATATTCTGCCCATGTGCATGTATGTGTTTGTACATGCTGTGTATAGGACTATGCAAGAATGGAGAAAAAATGTGGAAGCATATACTTTATAATATAAGCATGGATTTCCTGGAATGAGGATGAAAGAGAGTGTTGTGTAAGTTAAAATATAGGAGAAATGGGGGAAAGGGAGAAATTTAACAAAGAAAAAAAATAATGTTCCTCAGCCGGGCTCGGTGGCTCAGCCTATAATCCCGCGCCTTTGGGAGGCTGAGGTGAGTGGATTGCCTGAGCCCGTGGGTTCGAGACCCGCCTGGGCAGCGAGACCTCATCTCTACGTAATTCCGGCTACTTGAAAGGCTGAGGCGGAAGGATCACCGGAGCCCAGCAGGCGAGGCTGTGGTGGCCAGGAACGGCCACTGTACTCCAGTCCGGGTGACAGAGTGAGACTCCAACTCAAAAAAAAAAATTATGTTCCTCAAAAGTCATTTGTCTGAACCACATATGCGTTTTTATAAAATTATATGTGTGTGTGTGTGTGTATGTAAATAATTTAAAATAAAGATGTGGTTTTTTAATAAAGAACTTGGGAAAAAGTCAGATTTAAAATAAAAGGTAAAAAAGTAGATGCTAGCTTAAAGTTTTCTTTTTATTGAATTAAAAACTGGTGCTCAAAACTTGAGATATGTCACGTGAGAAAAGTCTGTGTGGATACGAAAAAAAAGAGGGGAAGTGTTGCTGCTTGTCACGAGTGTGATGGCTTCAAGGTTGCTTTGGGTAGCTGAAGCGCTGGCTGCACAGGCCCTGAAGGCCCGCAGTCCTAATGGGGTGGCTGGGGTGCGCTGCACAGCATCTGGAGGTGGTGTTCCTACTGATGACGAGCAGGCGACTGGACTGGAGAGGGAGGTCATGATGGCTGCACCGAGAGGACTGGACCCATACAATATACTACCACCAAAGGCAGCTTCAGGCACCAAGGAAGACCCTAATTTAGTCCCCTCTATCACCAACAAGCGAATAGTGGGCTGCATCTGTGAAGAGGACAACTGTGTCGTCATCTGGTTCTGGCTACACAAAGGTGAGACCCCAGTGATGCCCTAGCTATGGAACCCATTACAAGCTGGTGCCGCCTCAGCTGGTCCATTGAGCCCTTGCACTAACATCTGAATATGTGCTGTAACATTTCTTCTTTCCGATAAAGACTAGTCATGCTATTGGCTCCTTCTCCCATTAAAAAAAAAGAAAAAAATGAAATAAAAATAATCAAAGGAAAAGGAGAGTGTTCATAAGAATGTATTATTAATGCAGCTGGAGTTCACAGAAATGTAACAGGTAAAAATGTAAACCACAAAGACAAACAAGTGTGATTGTGCAAAATGGGAAGAGCATCATCCCTCTCTACAGAGAAGGTTTTAGGAGAAGACAGAGTGTTGTGGGAAACAGACACCAACGGCTGGCCCAGGATGGGGGCTGGTTTTAAAATGGATGCTCAAGAGGATCATGCAACACAAACAAATATGAGCTTTTCAACTGTTACGTGAAAGGAGTTTCTTAAGGAAAGGGACACGGTAGTTTTTTGATCCACACGTATCAGGAATTGATAATATGAGGATTAGGATTTTTATGTATGCATAATACAGAAATCCATTCTCTTAGTGAGGAAATTTTAGTAACATTATACATTTTAAGACATACACATGGGTCAAATTTTATTTTATTTTTTTTGAGTTGGAGTCTCACTCTGTCGCCCAGACTGGAGTGCAGTGGCCGCTCCCAGTCACTGCAGCCTCGACCTGCTGGGCTCCGGCGATCCTTCCGCCTCAGCCTTCCGAGTAGCCGGAATTACAGGTATGCGCTACCACACCTGGCTGATTTTTTTGATTTATTGTAGAGATGAGGTCTCGCTGCCCAGGCGGGTCTCGAAGCCGCGGGCTCAGGCAATCCACTCACCTTAGCCTCCCAAAGGCGTGGGATTACAGGCTGAGCCACCAAGCCCGGCTGGGTCAAATTTTATATAATCACGCAGATCTACAATAAAAACAGATTCAGTGCTCTCATCTCCTTACTCACTGGAAACACAAGTATGAGCAAATTAATTGTCTGAACAAGAAACAGCAACAGACTATGTAGGATCTCAAGAAACAGGAGCTAGACTAAGTTAGGGGAGGTGGGTGGGTAATAAGAAAGAACCAGACTAGTTCCTGAGACTCTTCCTGGGTGGAGTCAATGTAGTCAAGATAAAGGCATAGCCAAGTATCAATATGAAGGGTCTGGGCTGAAAATACAGAACACTAAGGAAAAGGCTAAGGATAAGCTTCCTGACCTCTGAAGGATTTTAGAATTTATTCTACTCCCCCCAAAACTCATCATATGCTTCCTTCCACTAATGGCAGTGACTTTCCTACATGTCATATCTCTCCTCCTACAATGAAAGGCAGGATCTAAGTTAGTCATTTTTGTGCTCCCAGAGGCAAAGCACAGTACCGCTTGTATAATAGTTTATCATTATATGAAAGTATTCCACTTTAACATATTTCTAATTAATGGTAACTGCTAAACAAGAAAAACAATTCCAAGAGTGACTATCATAAAATAAAAATGAATGAAAGAAAGATAGGTAAAGTCCAAACTCTGGTGCTTCGTAAATTTAAGCTAGTTTAAAAACTACTTTAAGGTAAGGTACCTTACCTTGGAATCCTGAGCTTCCAAGAACATATGACAAAATTGCTATTCAGAATTGTAAACCTATAGGTTTACAAGAAAAAATACACTTACTTTGTTCCCATTTCAAATCAGTAGGATAAGAGTTTTTGGAAGAAGTGACAATGAAAATAAACTAGAAAAATTTAAAAGATAAATATCTTTGTATTTAAGAAAGCATCTTATGAAAGAGAACAGAAGTTTTTACAAATTATAGCAGTGAGAATTTGTCTTACATATTTCGAAGAGGCTGAGCATTTCTTTTTCTCTCTTAAATATCTATTAGTTCTTCGATATGACTCTAAAGTATAGCAATGCATCTTGATTTCTTAACAATAATACTTAATAATTACTTAATTGTATTTGAACTGCAACAAAAATATTTACTTTGAGAGTCAGAATTCAGCTGGACTGGTGTAGATGACTGCTGTGGTCTTGACAATGGCTTTGGAGGTAATTCTTTAGCCTGGGAAGAACAAAAATAAATGCACATGATTTTAAAACCCTGTTTTGACACATAAAACACATTTTTCTTCTAATGAGTTTAGTGCAATCTTCTGTCCTATATACTTTTTAATTAGATACCCCAAAAGCTCACATGTACTCCTTTGCATCATAAGCTACTAAACAGGATGACAAGATTTAGATGTAGACAGGGTGTGTTCTTCTCATATCCAGAAGTTTACCTCCCCCCAGGTACCTGTGACAACCTGTGCAAGGTCTTGAGGAGATGCAAGTATGATGATGGCTTAGCAAGCAACTGGGAGAGACAACAACAAACTTGAACCTTGGACTTCAGTTTTCATATTGTGCAACAGAGATCAAGCCAACTCTGAAAGGGTGTTGTGGAACTCAAGGAATAATGTACACAAAACCCTTGGTACTTCAAGGACTGACATACATTAGGTGCTAAGTATTATTGATATTATTAACTGAGATTACAAAGTTCTATCATTAGGGAAATGCAGTCACAGAAGAAAAATGTTTTTCCCTGAAATTTGTACAGATGAAATATCAAGGTAATATAGCACTTTCACAAGAACTTTAAGTAAAAGGAATTGCAAAGGAGGCTTAGCAGGCTATAAGAATCCGATATCAAGGGTGGACTAGTCTATAGAAAGACATTTCCTATTTCCACTGAGAGAAACATAAAACCGAACAGTACAGAAGGCTTCCTCTGTTCCCTTGCTGCTTTTCTTGCATTGATTCGCTGTCCTTCATTTTCATACTTTTCAGTAAAGGAATCAAGAATTCCATAAAGATCTTCTGCTTGAGCAGGCTGTGGTATATTTCCAAATAAAATGTCATAAGCTCGAACATCTTGACAATAAAATCTAATAAAAAATCAAAATGTGAAACATTTTGGTATTCACAGATCTTTTCTAGAGTTAAACATAGTATGCACTCATACAAATATATATATACACACATATATATAATCACTTGTTTATAGCATTTCTTTTTTTTTTTTTTTTTTTGAGTTGGAGTTTCACTCCGTCGTCCAGACTGGAGTACAGTGGCCGCTCCCAGCCACCGCAGCCTCTACCCACTGGGCTCCGGCGATCCTTCCGCCTCAGCCTTTCGAGTAGCCGGAATTACAGGTGCTCGCTACGACGCCTGGCTAGTTTTTGATTTATTGTAGAGATGAGGTCTTGCCAAGTTGCCCAGGCGGGTCTCAAACCTGCGGAGTCAGGCAATCCACTCTCCTCAGCCTCCCAAAGGCGCGAGATTACAGGCTGAGCCACCAAGCCCAGCTGTTCATAGCATTTCATAGAGACCACTTTTAAAACACTAACTACAAGCAACATCTCCTGCTCAACTCTTAAATTCATCCCCACAAGCTCACCTCTACAGGCAACTACCATGAATTTTATGATATGTATCCTTTATTAATATAAAAAGCACATCTGTATTATCAGATCTTTATACATGCATATATATATAAACATTTCTATATAAACACAGAGAAATATATATGCAAGTACATACATTCTTGTAAGTTTTTATTTTTTATTTCTTACAAAAATACATACGGCTGTGTAATTTCAAAATATTTATTTTTATCAAAATATTTATTTTTATCAAAATTAAATAAAGATTTTCCTTCCAAAGTTTGGAAGTCCTGCATTTCATTAAGCGTATGTTTGTTTTAGTTTATCCAGGATTTAGTTCAACTTTAATAGGGAAGTCTGCCAAAGGCCTAGAACCAGAAGTTTCTAAAAGCATTCTTGTTATATTTCTCAAAATAATAAACCAGGAGTAAAAACAACTCTTGGATGGTAGAAGATGAAGAGTTCTACAAACTCTATGTTCCCCCATTCCTTCTACTTTCTTTTTGTGGTTTATATTGAACACCATGTGCTACTGAGTTCCTGAGTGAATTGGCATGGTAAAAGATGGATGTGTGTGTGTCTGACAGGGGTGGGTCCGCCTGCTGTACATGGTAAAGGTAAATGGTCAGCCATCAGCAGTTTCAGCTTATTAGGCTTGCAATTGGTAGAGTTTCTGCCAAGTTCTAGAGGACGTCCTTCTGTCAGATTAAGTTCTGTCTCCTGGGCCTTTATACATACCTTGGTGGTGATTTCTAAAAATGTCTTTGGGAAAAATTAGCCAGATGCCGGTTTAAAGAAATTTTCCTTCAACTCTTAGGATACTTCCAAATCCTCTTTAAAAAAAAAAAAAAATCAAACTATATTTTTAGTTGAAACTGGTCTCTATTTGATATGGAGGAAATAAAGGCAGAGTGTAATTATAGGAAACCTCTCACAGTGAGGAACTATTTCGACTGGCCCACAAGTTATAACGGGCATGCCCTCCACCAGTACACTTAATATGATGCACTTAACCAACAGAGTATTATTTATGCTTATGAGTTATGTTATAATGTCAAGTGGAAAAACAGTATTTACAAATGGATATACTACATTATGATTACAATCATATATGGCAAAAAGAAAATTATGCTTAGGAAAATGGTGGATGGCACTAAAAAAAATGTGAATTGTTAGTCTTTTAAATGGTAGAAAGCCTTTTTCATTCTCTTCCTAAATTTTCTCTGGGTTTCTTACTTTTTTTTTTAAATGGTAGAAAGTCTTTTTCATTCTCTTCCTAAATTTTCTCTGGGTTTCTTACTTTTTTTTTGAGTTGGAATCTTACTCCATCGCCCAGGCTAGAGTGCAGTGGCGCACTTACAGTCACCCTAGCGTCAACCTGCTGTGCTCTGGCGATCCTTTCACCTCAGCCTTCCAAGAAGCTGGAACTACAGGCATGTGCTACCATGCCCGACTAATTTTTGATTTATTGTAGAGATGAGGTCTCGCCAAGTTGCCCAGGCTAGTCTCGAACACGCGGGCTCAGGCAATCCACTCACCTCAGTCTCTCAAAGTGCTGGGATGACAGGCTGAGCCACAGAGCCCAGCCAGTTTCTTACTTTTATATTGAATTTATAAACATAAAATATACACTTAAAGCTACATGTTGTACAAAAAACAATATACAAATGTGCTGTTAACTAAATCAAATTTGAAGTATTATTTTCTCATCATACTTTCTTTAAATCAATAAAAATCACTTCAGCTTGGACTTACTTTCGATTAGTTTCTTTCCTTTCAATCAAACAGCTCCCCTCTAAAGATATGCCAGCAAAGAGTCCTCTTGATTTGCAGTACGTGAAGACTGCAGCAGAGCTCCTCAGGGCGACGTTTCCTTCTAGATTTCTGCAAAGCCCAAGAGATGATCATGTGACGAGCACTGCACTTTTGTTTGGCCCAACAGAAGTATCCTGCGCTGCACCGACTTCACCTGTTTTTTTGTTTTACTTCCTGTTGGCCTGAGCTAGATATTTTAAAGTGACCCAGAGGAAAGACAGTCCCCTGGGAAAGGACATTTACATAAAATTATTATGTAAGCGTGTGATGATAAGGAAGGGCTGTGCCACAGAAAAATACAATGTAGACTATATAAGTACGTTAAAAGAGAAGAATTTGTAAAGCTGACACTTTTCTTACTGGGTCTTCCTCTCTTAAAACTGCAAAGCACATCTTGAGAGTGCCAACGAATTTAGATTCTTTTTACGTTGAGCATTTTCATGGAGCCTAGAAACATTTTTAGATGATTTTACTGTGAGTATAAAGTATTCCTACATTGCACAATGGACCTTATAATAGTATTTCATTAATAGAGAAAAAAATACACTTTGTAAGTACTGTAAACATTGTTCAATAAAACACATTAACTTCTAAGTTTTATGAGTTAGTTGAGAAAAAGCTTTTTTTCCTAAACAAAGCTGACTTTTATCAGTTAATAAAATTTGACTTGCTTTGGCTCCCTCAAAGTTTAAGCTTAATTTTATGTTGAATTTCAGCAGATAAAATGGTCTATGTTTCTAAAATATTTCATTTTTTTCTTGTGTATTCTGGTTTCTGATTGGCTACGGTTTGCGTCTTTCTTATTTGTGATAACCTCAAATCTTCTGGGGAATGCATAGATTACAAATTTGTTCATTTTAATTTAAGTTCCCTCTTAGTGCAAAATAAAATACGTTGTCTCTAAACCTTTACTACCTAACATCTATTCAAAAAGTGCTTTACAGCACTCACCTTCCCAAGGGCCCAACTGCCACAGTAAAATTCCCGCCAAGTGTTAGGTTACCGCCTTTTGCAAAAGCTTCTACGGCTCTGTCGTAATTCAGGATTATTACCAAATCCGATACCTAAAAGACAGAAACCTATTTATTTAAAAATAGTTGACTCAAAAGCATTTAAAATATATGTTGAGGCTGGGTGCAACAGTTTACACCTACAATGCCAGCACTCTGGGAGGCCGAGGTGGGAGGATCACTTGAGCCCAAGAGTTTGAGACCAGCCTAGGCAACACGGTGAGACCTCATCTCTATTTAAAAAAATAAACAACAAATAAATAAATAATGAAATAAAATATACAATAAAATAAATGTTGGTTAAAACTCAAATATACTATACATAATGTGGCAAATTTCAATACAGAGAAGGAATAAGCAAAAAGAGCAATATTTTTATTTGAGTTGATAACATAAGAAGCCAGTATTGCCACAGGTAATAACAACTCCACTGAGCATATAACATGAGGCTTACCTTCATTATCTCCTTTAATCTTCCTAAACCTGGTAATGTAGGTTCAGTGAGGCTAAGCAAACTCCCTACTGATGACTAGAATTAACCAAACAAAGTTGGTGGGAAGGATCAAACACACTCTCTTACCTCCTCAAACTAAACGCTTCACAAAAGCTGAACCCAAAGAACACAGCACTAGGGACTATGGGGCTGAAGGTCCCAGGAGACTTTCTACATTTATGCTCTTGACCCGGCTGCACGTTCACCACTAGGAGCTGGACCCTGGGCCCTGCACTGCAGGTCTCAGAAGTTCAACACACCAGAAAGCAAATTTGTTTCTATTAGTAATGCGACTACCATGAGTTAATTTTCCTTTAAGTAAAAGCAAAACCTACAATGAAATTCAACTGAATGCTTAAGGCATGCCAACATGGAGAAAGCACTTGTTTCTCAAATTCAACGCCACTGGTAAATTTGTGGAGCCCAAGGTTAGAAGTAAGAAATAACATGAGCCATCAAATGAGAGGCAGCACAGGCCAGGGCAGCCCCTGGTTGTGGAGACCCAAGTGTCCACCCCAGCTCCTCTTTTCCATTGCTGTGTGACTTGGAATATTTTAACTAGCCTTTGGATCTCTGACTTTTCCCTATTTAAAATCTACATAGCAGGCCAGCCTGAGCAACATAGAGAACCCCATCTCTACAAAAAAATTAAAAAATTTGCCAGACATGGTGGCACACACCCGTAGTCCCAGCTACTAGGGAGGCTGAGACAGGAGAATTTCTTGAGCCTAGGAGGCTGAGGCTGCAGTGAGCCAAGATCATGCCACTGCACTTGAGCCTGGGTGACAGAGAAATACCCTGTCATGAATAGGATAGGATAAGGTAGGATAGAATAGAATAGAATTATGAAATAAAATAAAATCTATAGACTAGGACCTACACCCCACAGAACCATTGTGAGGATCAGATATACATGCTAGGTGTACCTGGAAAATTGAAGGTGCGATGGCATGGGGCTAAGAACTGGGGCTTAAAGTTGAAATTGTTCGGATGTAAACTCTACTGCTGCATCTTGTGTGCTGTATGGTCCTGGGCAAATTACTGATTTGCCCAAAGCCTCAGTTTTCTTTTCTGTAAAATGGGTGTAATGATAGTAACTACATGTATAAGATTGTTTAAGAATGAATTGAAATCGTTTGCAAAGTGGCATATTTATCACACCTCAATAAAACATACAAAGGTTAAGCAGACTTATGTTTAAAATGTCTTAATTTGAGCAATTTTTACATCTTTTTGAGTGTTTTCAGATTAATGTTTTCATCTGACCTACAGAAAAATCCTGTTAATACTGAGTGGGATAACACCTGAAAGGGGCTTTGTGATAAAAGTAGGTTCATAATAAAAGTTTAAGTTGGGCGGGCTCAGTGGCTCAGCCTGTAATCCCAGAACTTTGGGAGGCTGAGGTGAGTGGACTGCCTGAGACCCCGGGTTCGAGACCTGCCTGGGCAACTTGGCGAGACCTCATCTCTGCAATAAATCAAAAAATTAGCCGGGTGTGGTAGCATGCACCTGTAGTTTCAGCTACTTGGAAGGCTGAGGCGGAAGGATCGCTGGAGACCAGCAGGTCGAGGCCGGCCACTGCACTCCAGTCTGGGCGACAGAGTGAGACTCCAACTCAAAAAAAAAAAAAAGTTTAATTTGAATCATTTTGTGAAAAAAATACACTCAAGATCCTTAAGACAAGCTAAATATATCAGATAGCTGGCCCACACAAAATGCTTCACCTTGACTCCTGTCAACTGTTTATTTTATTAGATATATGGACAGTTTCTGAGGATTATGATGCTGAATGACACCGCATTATTTAGTTTTTTAATGCAAAGTAAGCCCTTTGCCAATGATTGTACAACCTATATCTTTTTTTTTTTTTTTTTGAGTTGGAGTCTCACTCTGTCGCCCAGACTGGAGTGCAGTGGCCGGCCTCGACCTGCTGGTCTCCAGCGATCCTTCCGCCTCAGCCTTCCAAGTAGCTGAAACTACAGGTGCATGCTACCACACCCGGCTAATTTTTTGATTTATTGTAGAGATGAGATCTCGCCAAGTTGCCCAGGCGGGTCTCGAACCTGCAGGCTCAAGCAATCCACTCACCTCAGCTTCCCAAAGCGTGGGATTACAGGCTGAGCCATCGAACCCGGCTACAACCTATATCTTACATGCATTTTTAGATAACAAAGTTGTCTTGCATAATGCTTGACACATACACATTCAGAAAATAAAATTTCTACCCATGACCTTATAGTGCTCTAGCTGTTATGTTCTTCTGCTTGGCAGATTTAGTACAGTTAAGTAAGGCAAAACTATAAGAGGCAGCTAAGGGGAAAAAAATTGGTCTTGTAATATTTTTGTCTGATTTCTATTACTTTCTTTCAAAATAAGAGCAAGATAATCCTGTATTCTTTGGCAATGCTGCTAATTAGACAGAGAACCAGTTCAAAAGCTTGTAAACACCTTGCTGAGCTTATGAACATCAACAGCTCTAGGTTTATCTCCACAAATTAGCAGAAAGAGCAAAACAGATTTCTTGCAAGAAAACTGGAGCAGTTGAGCAACACACTGGAACAGTATGAGAAAGCCATCTGAGAATTTGACAAAAGCCTCCTTAAAAGTCTGCATTGAAACTTAAACTATATTACAGTTTGATAGAAGTTAGATCTGGGCAATACCCTTGGGTCCCTCCCACTGTTTGAGTTTTTCTGTCCTTTCAATAAATCCTGCTTTAAAAAAAAAAAAGAAGAAATTAGATCTAGTGTTTGACAGATAGTAGTGTTACTATAATATACAATAATCTTTTGAATATTTCAAAATAGCTAGAAGAAAATAATTTGAATGCTTCTAGCATAAAGACAAATACTTAAGTTACAAATATCCCCATTACACTGATTTGATCTTTACAAATTATATGAATGTATTAAATTGTCACAAGTACTTAGAAAGTAGGTAATCTATTATATATCAATAAAAATACAATTAAAAATAAAGCCTAACCATAAGATGCAAGAATTCGTAAATCACAATGACCATGCAGGACAAGCTGGGGGAGGGAAGTGTTTCCAGAGCCACCGGTCTTCTCTTCTCCAAAACTGCATCTCCTGAACCCCATCTTTCGCTTCACATCTGATACTATCATACTGTAAGAAGGAGTCTTACCCTATTTTTGATGTTTGTTGACAGTCTTCAAGCCCCACCACCCTGGGTAACCCGATACAAAATCTGGGGCTCCCTCATCTGGCTCCCCATTCTTTCGAGCCATTCGTAGGCCTGCCTGGAAGCCTGCTCCACTCTCCCCCAAAACCTCATGATGTGGGTAATAAGCTTTTTCATTCCCTCTCCGTGTGTGAGGCAACATGCAAACCAAATTTAGGCGGGGTTCACAAATTTAGGCGCATGTTCACAACATGCAAACCAAATTTAGGCGGGGTGTCCCTCCCAAAACATCTTCCATTCCTCACACCAACAGACCCCTCCCTATGCGTCAATCTTAGGGGACTTAGGGAGTGTACTATGATTTCTAACAATAATTTCTCTTCAACTTAAGCCCAGAACAGTTCCTCTTCGTTGAAGAGCCCATCCAAATTCTCCCTGAAACAAGCAGTCTTTCTTTTTTTGTTTTTCAAATTCTAATCTTGAGTGAAAGCAGGATTGATCAGGCTTGATGGCCCAGTGTGAGGTCTGGCTATGGGGATACAGCAAAGAACTACGTCTGAAGACAAGCCATGTATCAGGGTTTTCAGAGCTTTGGGCTTTACTACAACCGCTGCCCAAAAAGAAACCATTTACAGTATTTAAAACAAGCCTTAGTGCAATCTTTCCTTACACCACTGACTTTCAAGCCTTCACTTCTCACAATCTCAACTCTTTTTACAAGTATTTCTCTCCTTGTCACAGTAATACCCCCCAGCTGACCCCTATTCATTCATTCAGATACAGGCATTCATTCCTACTTTAGCACCTATAGGTATTACCACCTGTGATATTCCCAGAACCAAGGAAGACATTATATAGTCCCCACCCTGTAGAATTTGGGAGTCTAAAGGTTAAGATTGAAAAACATAAATTAACCCAATCTTAATCTTCTGGCTAAGCTCAGGGGATCACTTGTACTTATGCCCCTGGAAGAATGAGTCTGACAACCCTCAGTGAAGCCACTGCAACATTCAATAAGCTTATCAGGACCAGCCTGGGCTGCAGTTGCTGGTAAGCAGCATTCCTTATAACAACTAGATCTTGTCACTTAAAAAAACTAACCCTTAAGAACAGGGCACTAAGAACACAAAATTGAGATTGCAGTCTTTCTCTACCAGGATTCTCGAAGAGAATGAAGCCCTAATGAGCTAAAGCATGCATTGCAAGAAATGAATTGTCATCTCCCCAAATATTCTTCAATAGCTACAGAAATAATTGAGAAAATAGCACTCACATAATTTTCTGTAACACTCACATAGTTTTCTGTAGAACAGATGAGGAACCTAGAGTAAACTTGAGATTTTCACTGGCTTGAATATATTCACAGGAAGGTCTGGTAGATGTTTGGAGGAAAACAAAGACTGACTTAGGCACAAAA